CAATGGAAATATAGGTCAAGTAGTTGATCAGTGGTTAAGAGAAGAGTTTCATCGTACATCTCGAGCTAAATGTTTAATTCTTATTGGGTCATCGGGTACCGGAAAAACAACATTTTCTAAATCATTACCTGGTCAATATACATATTTCAAAGGACGATGGAGTTTAAATACATGGAATGATTCTGCTAATTATTTAATATTTGATGATATCGATTGGGATAGATTTGAAGAATTAGGCTTTCCGTTAAAGAAAGATTTATTAACACAAAATGGCATTACAATAGTATGTGAATAAGTTTCATTCTCTTTCTTTTAATAAAACCTTGTTTGTTTTTGTTTACTTCACCTAGACCACTGATAAATATGAAAAAACTAGAGAAATTAATGTTACACAGCCGGCTATTATTCTTCTCAATCCTGGTCGACCTGAAGGAGCATTAGGACGTCAACCAATTACATATGAAGATCAATGTGAAGCCACATATTGGCAACAACGAGCGACTATCTATCGGATGGGTGAGTAATCAATGATGATCAGTCATTTATACATACATATATATATTTATATCTTTTTTTCTCTCTTCAATACAGATGTTAATGAATATTTCTTTAAACCAAACTAATCTCATCATCATTATCATCATTAAACATTATTGAAATCTTTTCACTGTTCCAACATTTCTTTCATTATATCTATTCTTATAAACTCTCCTGCTAAATATACTTGCTCAAATATCACAGTTCTTTTGTATTTATAAGATCTTGCTTCAAAATTTTCTGATGGATCATTTTCAAGAATAAACATTTTTATGTTACAAGTTCATTATTTTTATTATTTCAATAAAAGAAATAAAACGGAGAAGAAAAAAACGAGAACGAAAACAAGAAGAAGAACAAAAGGAAAAAACTACCAACAACAACAACAACAACAACAACAAAATAAACAAAACAAAAGCTAACTAATGGTGTCGATGAGGAATTGACTGTAATCCGGATGGTCCGGTTCCATATTGTCGGCTGATGGTGCTGTTGATGATGTTGAAGGTGGTATAGCCGGACCACCCGGTACAGTCATCGACGAGGTGATGTTAACTACCACCGCCCTAAAAATAGAGTTACTAATATGGTATATATAATAATTTAATGTACTCTTACCGGTTGGTACGGACGGTGACAGTCACTTCGCCAAATTCGAAGGGGAAAGTGGTGATGTTTTCATGTTGTTGTTGGTAATGTTGTTGTCGTAGTTGCTGTTGTTCTTGTTCTAGTCGTTGTTGTAGTTGTTGTCGTAGTTGTTGTCGTAGATATTCTAGATATTGTTCATGTTCTGGATGTCGCTGATGTTGTTCCTGTTGTTCTTGTTTTTGTTGCTGTAGTAGATATTGTAGATGTTGTTGAGCTTGTCGATGTTGTTGTTGATATTGTTGCTCTTGTTGTTGTTGTTGTTGTTGTCGACGTTGTGCTCGTCGTCGTCGTCCTTGTACTTGTTCTTGTTGAACAAGGCGACGACGGTTAACCTGATTACGCCGACCTATTAAAAAAAATAGAAGATTTTTAATTATTTGAAATGAAACTTACGTGAAAAATATATTTGTTCCATTTGGAAAGACAAAAAAATAAAGAAATAGGCGTGGAGATGTGGTAGAGATGTAGTGGAGAAGTGGTGAAGAAATGAAATAAGGCATGGCTATTTATACGGAGAGAGAAAAGAAAAAGAAAAATAGCAGACCGTTAATTAAGGGTCTAGGCCTAATTTTAAATAATCAGCCTGGACTAACGGCTATTCGATAGACTAAACGTGCGGAGGAAAGGACAGGAAAGAAAAAATCAGCCA